CAAAGCTCTCCCACTTCTGGAAGTTTTTCTGTGATTCACAGATGCAGATGATGTCTTCGTGGCCTTCCATGTCTGTGAAAAACTCATTAAAGGTGTGCAAGAGTGGTTTCTCAACTGGTGATGTGAGAAGGAAAATTACCTGAAATGCCCCTTTTGGCAAGATTTGTTTACAAATCAAAGACACAGATTCCCTCAAGAAAGTCATTTTTGTCTTGATCCAGGTCATTTCATCACATGGAGTTTCACTTCCTTTAAAGTCAGAACGGCCGTTACAAAAGATCCAGCTCGTTTGCTCGAACAGATGCAAGTTACTTGTGAAATCTTTGATGCTTGTGTCACTTGATATCCTATAGCTCTGCAGAGAGTGCATGTTTGCAGCATGATGCTGAAGGTATCTACTGCAAAGACCTGATACCTTTGAGTCTGGGTCAAAGTCAAACACACAGAAAAGGTTCAAGTTAAGCAGCCAGTCAATGCTGCCAAGGTCATCAGATGTGAATCTGTTTGTGATGAGTATGAACCATTTCCCCTTTTCAATTAATTTCTTGCCACTAGTCATGAGCATTTTGAGTTTCCTACCAAGGTCCTGGCAGATCTCTGGAGCACTGAGAAACTGATTTTTCTCCGCGTCTTCTCTTTGACCATCCCGATCTTTGACTCTCTGGTAAAAGTCACTGAGATCTTTGTCGCTCACTGGCTCCGTTTTTGAACCAACCCTCCGCAGAATTGTTTCCTTCTCAAATTCTATTTTGTTAGTTGACTCTTTGAAGTTTGGCAGACGAACTGCATACACCTTGCCCTTAACAATATTTACTGAAGGCACAATGTCAACTTCTACAACATACCTCTTCTCTGTACTTTCTTGATCCATAACCTCAATGAACCTGGGAGGCCGCACACACTGGCGCACGTGCTCCTTATCAGAGGAGAAAGTCCTTTCAATGTAGTCCAAAGCATCTACATAAATGCCCTTCTCTTTCACAGGGACACCAATAATCTCACCATGTACATATCCTACATCTTCCTTGCTGTCCATTACACCAAAGTGTATTGTGCCATTTGACCTGATATTCATACAACCAGTCGCAAATTTAAGAACCTCTTTGGCAAACTTAGCTTGGAGTCTTGTGCGATCCAAGGCAGCAGCTACAGAAAAAGACTTATATTCATGACATGGAGATATTAGATCAAAAGCACCCGATTCAGGTTGTAGGACTCTGTGCTTTACATATATAAAATCGATCGCTTCTTGATCAAATGGGCGTGGTTTGCAGTCTTCCTTTGAAGTAAACACACGTTGTTCCTGAACAGTTTGTTTCTCCTCTAAGACATCTTGATCTCTTATAGAAACCTGTGCTGGAGGATCTTCACTTGTTATAGGAAGATACTGATCTGATTTCTGCTTAATGTTTTTCTGCTCCAACTCTGCTTTTTTGCCACTGATGGGCTTTTTCTTCTCCTGAGGTTTTTTCTGGACATTGAGGAGCTCATCTCTTTTTTGAATAATCAAATGAGCAGGCCCTGATTTCATACAAATCTTTGTCTTCAGAAAGTCCTCATTCAGTGTAAGAAGGATTTGTCCATCCACTTCTTCCTCATAGAGCTTTACTATGTACTGCTCCTTCACTCCAATGGATCTTAGCCAGGTGCTTACTTGAGATTCAGTCCAGTTCTTAGGCGGCTGCTCAGGTTCGTCAGCTGTATAGTGAGAAGAGATACAAGAAAAAGTCATTGATGGCATCAAAAAAAATCACTGTAGTTCTCTTCTACAATTCAGAATATTTGCAGTTTGTAAATTTAGTGATATTTGGTAGCAGCATTTATTTTAAAGGCAGACAGGTTTCCATTTTGTCAAAAAATCTCATTAAAGGCCAAATTCAACAACGCGTTAGTCCGTATCTTAATAGTATCCAACAGAGGCGTTTCTAGACATCAAGCTCTACTGGGACACAGGCCTCCCATTACTCAAATCACACATTTTTCTTCTTGAATGTTTACTGCATAAATGAAATGTGCTGTATATTGTGCTATGTGAACTTCACTTAGTACTTAGCCCACTGTTCCACTGCCACACTGCTGCTACTACAACAACTACCAGTAAAAGGTAGAAATGTAGGGATATTAATCTTTATGAAAATATTCATTTCAAGCTACATCAAGAACATTCTCAACATGATTTATGACGTAAAGGTCTGGCCCTGTATTGCACTTTTTTTGCATTTTACACTAACTAAATTTATTCACAACAAATTCATCTAAAAAAAGCAATCATTCTTTTTTCTTTTTTTGTAACTCATAAGGCCACATAACATACCCATGCTCCAATTACTTCAAAAGTGTGTTGTGCAATAGATGGCTGGTGGTCACACATCTGTCTCTATAGACACAGACAGCTTCTTCCACACTTTCCCTTCCTGCTTCAGGTTCACCAGTTTATTAAAAATGCATAAAATAAACAATAGTTGGACTGTGTGACAAGAGCATCAAATATGTTATAGACTATTTATTAAATACAAAATGAACAGTCCGACATTAACATAAACAACTACATGTGATGCATTATGCATTCTCACACCAATAAATAGCTTTGATGTACAGAGCTCTAATTTACTTCACATTCAACATCTGTGCTCGGTTGCATATTAGTTAACTAAACTACGTTACCTTGTTTACCAGCTACAGCCAGATCTCCCCTCTCTCACCCTCATCTCTCTGAACTTCTTCCCTCTCTCAGCCTCCTCTATAAAATTTTCTTCACGACTTATGTCCATCTACAGGAGTCAGTAATGTCTGAGTCAAAATAAGATCATTGGTATTATTCAAAAACTTAAATTAGTCTCCATCACATACCTCAGTCCATTCCTTTCTTTTGCTTTTTGCACAATACATGGATCACTGCATGCACCCTGCATTGCACCAGCTTCAACATGCATGCTCTGCATATGTGTGCAACATGGTGTACGAACCCTAACCGTTGCTGCTTTCACATTCTGGATTAGAACAACAAATAAAAAATCTTTTCCCTTTATTATTAATCCACTTCCAAATATAGGAGCTTGTTAAAACTTGAACGTGTGCTTTTACCGGGGCACAGCAGATCAATACTGGGGCACGCGTTTACCTAACATTATTTACACATCCAGCAGATGTACTATTATATAACAAACAGTATTAAAGTAGGCCTTCTAAACTTGTGTACAAAGGAGCACATGCACAGCGCTCAAACAGACTTATCACTCATCACTTACTACCAATGTTGAGTCCCTATTCTCAGACCTATACTCCTGCCTTTCCTCTTCTCTCTCTGTCTATGAATCCTTCTACCTCCTCTCCTTCTTCGACCAACAGTAGTCCAATTTCCACCAGCACCGGTGGCGGTCACACTGAGTCACATGTTTAAATTTGGCATGTTTGTACGCTGGATGCCCTTCCTGACGCAACCCTCTCTATCTGGGCTTGGGACCGGCACAGAAGTCACTGGCTTGCAGCCCCTATGGCTAGATTCATCACTTACTCACCCATGATTTTCTTTCTCCTATCGTGACATTATCAACTTTGGTGTTTATTTATTACCTCCCATCTGCAAAAGAAAACATCAAAACAGTTACATTTAGTCAATTATCATTGTGCACACAGATAAATATGTGGTAAATGACACTGATTCAAAGGCAGATTTATCTCATCAAACTTTGTGGTGAAACTTTCAAATGGGAATCACAGATTGATTGAGTTTACTATCCGTCTTGATATAGCTGTTGTGCTGAGAGACTTGCCAAACTCCATGCAAAAATTGTTAGTGCTTATATTCGTCATTTAAATAACTCAACGTTAGAGTCTCAGGCCAAACTCCATGCAGAAATTGTTAGTGTTTATATTCCTCATTTAAATAACTCAACGTTAGAGTCTAAGTAATACTGCAGGCCAATATGGACATCAATACTTGAGTTGTATGCACTTTCTTTACAGTAATACTGTAGCCTGACATGGATATAAATACTTGAGTTGTATGCACTTTCTTTATGCATTTTTTCATTTTGTCCATCCAATTAAATGTGCCAAATAAGGGGTGAGCTTTTTTTATTTTTTCCATACAATTAAATGTGCCAAATAAGGGGTGAGTACTCTAGTTAAATGATGTCTAACCCACTGTGATGTCACCCACTTATTTTCTATTGACAGTTCTTCACTCCACCTGCCAGGACTAATCCAGAAATGTGCATTTATTTACAAGTTTACCAGTTACCTACATTTACCAGTAAAGCTCGTTACACAGCTAGCAGCCACCCACTTGCCCCTCCTGCCTGTCACTCAAAGTGGCCACGCTCTGAATTATGCATAACGTTTAGCCGTAATATAGGCAGAGAATGCAATGAGACTTGCAACTTCTTAACATATTCTGGATTAGAATGAGGTATAAACAACAGCCTGAACAAGTGCTGCTTTGTCTACAACTTGCATTTCTGCTGTCCAGGTCTTCTTCTTTCCCCCTTGTGAATGGCGAAACCAAATACTGCCACCTGATGGTAGGGGGAGTTATTTCTCCCACGCAGGTCTAGAACAGGTGCGTTATTTGGTTGCTGGCTGTATTCTGTGTAGTTCAAGTGCCACTTTTTCAACCCAGACAAAAGGCCACGAGGTGGCGCAACACTCTGCCCATGTCGCTGCTAGTTCCTGGTGTGTCTCTGCCCTTAAGGCCTATGTGTGTAGACTATAAATAATTTCTAAAACTTGAAAAGGAAAAAAATAACTTAATTTGTGAGCTTGTAAGTTGTCACACAAGACAAACGTTCAGTGGATATAAACAAGCAATAGACATACCAATATCAAATTAATAAGCTAAAGATTCATTCTAAAAATATTAAGACTTAGTTTAAAGGTTAAGGTTACTATTAGGGTGGGGCAGTGTTGAAGAAATCAGTCCTGTTCAAAGTTTGCTGTAGTAATAGCAGCATACACCGAGGTAAGTGTTGAAGAAATCAGTCTTGTTCAGAAGTTTGCTGTAGTAATAGCAGCATACACCGAGTTTACAGATAATGAGGGTGGGTCAGAGAAAGTTAGTGTAAGTAAGAGTGTAATTTCAGCGACTGCACCCTAATAACAATAATAATTTTATCTATGGCTACACAAATGGCTATTAATTCACATAGTTATTCTGCCACACCAGAGAATAAAATCAGTCGATCGTGTTGATGATTACATTTGCCACATAGGAAGTGATACATGGTCATTGAAACAAGCCACATTTTAACCGCGCGCGCGCTGGTCCTGAATTCAAATAGCACTACCTGTCTTCTTACAGCTCGTTTCAATAGAAGGGTTTATATATTATAGATTTATCCATTAGCCACAGGAAATCGCAAGCTACATATCTGGAGGAGAGCATTTCATCGTCCATCAGCTACATAACAAGAGCAAGGAAAACACTACAATGTACACAAACGATTTTTTTTTTTAAAAGGAGGCCATTTGTTTCTTACCTGGGATAAATAGTCCTAGTGCAAACAATCAGCCTGGTCCCTTCTCTGGACTGCCTTCTTTGGTAGTTTTAAACATGCAGTCAGACTTTTCACAGGCTCCTGCACTGCTGAAGAGGAAGTCGTCAAATGCTGATGGGCTGATCTGCGCATGCTACTTTTGTTCACCTCTCGAGTTTCGTTTTGTAGAAAGTACCACCTCCACCGGACACACCAAACACAGCCAAGACATGAG